TAGGGATTTATAATGAAAAAAAAAAAAAAAAACCACAAAAGCAAATACATATGCAACAACATATATACAAGGATATTCTTCACACATTTAAATAAAAATCTGAGGGGCGCCTGGGTGGCTCAGTTGGTTAAGTGACTGCCTTTGGCTCAGGTCATGATCCTGGAGTCCCGGGATTGAGTCCCGCATCGGGCTCCCTGCTCTGCAGGGAGTCTGCTTCTCCCTCTGACCCTCCCCCCTCTCATGTTCTCTCTCTCTCTCATCCTCGCTCTCTCAAATAAATAAATAAAATCTTTAAAAATAAATAAATAAATAAAAATCTGAGCACAAAGAAAAAGTTCATCAAGGGGAGACTGCTTAAATCTGTTACTTCTATGATTCCTATATACGAAACACTGTAGACATTCTAATGACAGCATAGGTTGTATGTTACTAATATTGCAAGACATTCACAATGGATTGAGTAGTTAAAAAGAATGAGAGTACACATAAATCTATATTTATTAATAATACCTTTCAACAGATGAGCGTGTTAAGTCACTTTCTAAAGGTAGTGTTAGTATTTTTCTAAATTTTGCTATAGTGTTTACTGAACTTAAAAAAAAACAAAACAGTAAAACTTTCTATCCACTCATTTTCCCAGACTAACCTACATATTGGAGTTCATCTTCCCTAAGCCACCTTTTAAAGAAATCATGCAAAATCAACTAGTGGGAAAAACATGAGCTTTCTTCCTTGTAAACCCCATGAAGGTATTCTCAGGCTTAAGCTCTAAATGAAGTCTCTTCTGGAAGTAAAGCAAGGTTTATTCCAGTTCCTCCATGATCCAAGAGAGAGGAAAAGAAATGAGAAGGACATCCCTCTCTCCATCATAGCCACAAACAGGGCCCTTGACACCAGCCCTTAGTTGCCCTCAGGGAACCCAGCTGACCTACCAAAACACTGGCTATACACTATTGGTCAAATGTATGGACACCTGACACTTCCCACGGGGTTCACCCTTTAGTCTGGTGTGAACCTAATACTGGTAACATAAATAGAGATGTAGGATGTCCTATTTCCTCAAGGACAGAAGGAGAGAACATGAAGGTTTTGTTGGAGGCTCTGCACAGGTTCTACACTGGACATTCTGGGGTCAGGCCTGGGCCAGACTGGAATGGACAGGTCTTCAAATTAGTGACAAGAGAACTGGGACTAGACTCGTGGATTTAAAACTTTGGCCTATAATGAAATGTGTAGGCTCATTATAAAGTGATAGATGGAGGATGAGCCAGTACCAAGGACAAAGATCTCTACCAGAGGTCTCAGCAGGAATTTCTCTCTATGGCAAAAATATATGATTTTTTGATGCCTATGGAAGTTTGAGTTCCAAACTTACTTTTTGCCCTGAGTCTTGGGACAGTTTCAGAATCAACATTAACTGGTTCTTCTTCTTCCAAGTTCATATTCTAGTGCTCGCTTCGGCAGCACATATACCAAGTTCATATTCTAAAATGTGCCCTTGACCAGATAAATTCCAACAGTAAAATCATTTACTATAAATATTGCCTAATAGAAAAAGTAAAGAAGGCAGCTTAGGGCTAGTGGAAGGAATGGGTTCAGTATGTCATGTCAAATATTTTGCTATCTCGGGGCGCCTGGGTGGCTCAGTCGTTAAGCATCTGCCTTCGGCTCAGGTCATGATCCTGGAGTCCCGGGATCGAGTCCCGCATCGGGCTCCCTGCTCGGCAGGGAGTCTGCTTCTCCCTCTGACCCTCCCCCCTCTCATGTGTTCTCTCTCATTCTCTCTCTCTCAAATAAATAAAAAAAAAAAAGTAATGTTAAGAGCTGGCCATAAATAGCTATCGAAACAAAAGGATTAGCCCTCTATTTAAACTTCTCCCCTCTGCCCCCAGCACCATCTAGTCCTTTGAGGTTAGCCACTCCCCTCACCCCACCATGAACTTAAAATCATGCCAAAAATCTGAGGACTTATAATGGGAAGGCTTTATAATTCTCGCAGGAAGGTTATGAGAGAAAGCAGCATGTAAGGTTTACTGGATGGACCAAGCAGGGACTCTACATCTAAATATAGTTTAAAGTGGTTTCAGACTGGCAGTAATCCCAGAACTTGTCCGAAAATGAAATTATGTAATCTCTAGAAAAGAAGGGTACTTTCATACAAGGATATTGGGAAGCCCCAGAATATCTCTTTACAGGGACAAACTGACACACAAAGATAACCAACCAAAAGGAAACAAAGCAAATTGAGTGAGGAATTAAATAAATTTACAAAGAGATTCATAAAATCTTGTTATTGGTATTATCACATGCATATATGAGTCAATTGTGTCTACCATGTTACCACAAGTATTTAAAAAACTGAAATTTAAAAGAATTGCCTGGAAAGGGAATTATGAATAGGAGACAGAGCAGAATAAATTATCTAGAATGCAATACAGACACTGAAAGATGGAAATTAACAGAGGAGGATTTACGACCCATGAAGGACAGAGTAGAAAGACCTACCAACTGGTGTTCACAAAAAGAAAGAATGGGGAAGAGGCAGTATATAAAGGGAAGAAAAATTTGCTGAGCAGAGGAAGACACCACGTCACAGATTCAAGTTGCTCAACATATCCCTAGCAGGAGAAAAATCGAAGAATTTCACACCCCAAAACATGCAAAAACACATTTGGCTACTGAATCCAGTTCCACCCAGGATTCTAAGGGGGAAAAAACTCTAATATCCTAGTCTCTGCACTCCCCCTTTAAAATCCTGCATTTTTTGGTATAACTTGTATTTAAATATCAAAAAGGCCTTTGCTCTAAAAGAACATTGACCAAAAGATGTGCAATTCTCAGAGAAGGAAATATTAAAGCCAAGAGACACATGAAAAGATTCTCAATCTTATTAACAATAAAAGAAATGCAAATTTAAGCCACACTGAGTCACAATTTCACACTTAGCGGACTGGCAAAATTTGAAAATTTTACAAAACCAAGTACTGGCAGTAATAACTGGCAACCAAAATAATTATAAACCATGGTAGGAGTGCAAATTGGTATAATTTTGGAAAACAATTTGTCATTGTATAATAAAGACATGGATGGGAATATACTTTGCACTGGCAAATCTTTTCTTGTTACCTACTGTAAGCCTTGAGGAGAATCTAGGTGATGCCAGTGTTTTTACAAACTACTCTCGCTACAGGAATTATTAATTTTTTAACAATTTTTTATTAACATATAATGTATTATTTATTTCAGAGGTACAGGTCTGTGATTCATCAGTCTTACACAATTCACAGTGCTCACCATAGCACATACCTTCCCCAGTGTCCATCACCCAACCACCCCTTCCCTCCCACCCCCTCCACTCCAGCAACCCTCAGTTTGTTTCCTGAGATTAAGAGTCTCTTATGGTTTGTCTCCCTCTCTGGTTTTCTCTTGTTTCATTTTTCCCTCCCTTCCCCTATGATCCTCTGTCTTATTTCTCAAAATCCTCATATCAGTGAGACCATATGATACTTATCTTTCTCTGATTGACTTATTTCGCTTAGCATAATACTCTCTAGTTCCATCCATGTCGTTGCAAATGGCGATTTCATTTTTTGATGGCTGCATAATATTCCATTGTGTGTGTGTGTGTGTGTGTGTGTGTGTGTATCTACCACATCTTCTTTATCCATTCATCTGTCGATAGACATCTAGGCTCTTTCCATAGTTTGGCTAGTGTGGACACTGCTGCTCTAAACATTGGGGTTTATGTGCCCTTTAGGATCCCTACGTTTGTATCTTTGGGGTAAATACCCAGTAGTGCAATTGCTGGGTCGTAGGGTAGCTCTATTTTCAACTTTTTGAGGAAGCTCCAAACTGTTTTCCAGAGTGGCTGCACCAGCTTGCATTCCCACCAACAGATGCTACAGGAATTAAATACCACAGCCTTAAGATATATACCAAGGTGGAAGCATTGTCTAATGAATCTTATGCACCTAAGTGCTTGACATATACAAGAAAACTCATAGTCACATTATAATTTAAAAATAAGCATAATTAAAATGAAATGAACAGGGACGCCTGGGAAGCTCAACGGGTTAAGCATGTCCTTTCCGCTCAGGTCAAGATCCCAGGGTCCTTGCTCAGCGGGAAGCCTGCTTCTCCCTCTGCCTGCGGCTCCCCCCTGCTTGTGCTCTCTAACAAATAAAATCCAAAAATAAAAAATAAAATGAACAATTATAAGTAATATTAAATTTTAAAAAAAAAGTAAAGGAAACAACCCACATATACAGCCGCAGTAGAGTGCTTTCGCCTACGTACATCTACGTCCAGCGGGCGTTTGGGTGAGGGTTGGGGGGCAAGGACAGCGCTTCTGGGGAAACAAGTGGGTCAGGCTCTACGGGTTACAGGAGTGAAGGCCTTTTTCCTTAAAGCGCGCACCTGAGGCCGCCGTTTGTGAGTCCTTCGTTGACCTGTACACACGACAGCGGCAGTCAGAGTCAGAGCCCTGACGGGCCGCACCAACTCCCGAGGTGTCGTCTATCCGCCGACAACGGGCATTTCAGGAACCACAGTCCTGGGCAAGCGGGCGCCAAACACTCCAGGCCCACACGAGCTGGCTAGAGCGCTGATAGAGACGCCAGCTCTCCGCCGGCACCAGCCCGGGCGGCCCACGTCCCGGCAGGAGGGCGGACGCCCGAGCGGACCCGCGAGCCGGAAGACCTTTCGCGGCCGCATCGTTTCCTGGGAAGTGTAGTTTCTTGCTTCGGACGCCATTGTACTTAAGAAGCACACAGAGGGCGGTCCCAATCTTCAGTGGCCCTAACTCAGATGTCAGAGTTCTACAGTGACTTCGCGTGCGCGTCCTAGCTGAGCAGCTCTGCGATGAAGGCTGCAGACGGTGGCGTTCCTCACGGAGCTCAGCCGTTTTTTCTCGCCAGGCGCTCAAAGAGCGCGCGAACGCGCAGCCTTCTGGGAAGTGTGGTTTTACGCGGCGACGTGCGAGGCACAGGTAACTGGTCGCTGACGCGGAGGAAGCTGGGAAATGCTGTTCCGGTGTGCGCTCTCTCCTCCGTCCGCCTCGCGGAAATCTCAAGCAGGCGGCGGAATTGTCCTGGGGTAGTGCAGTTCTTTCGACGGCGGCGGCCCTGGTCCGCTCTCCGCGAGTCAAGTGCGCGGAGGTGCGGCCTCTGGATCCCCGGGCTCCGGCTTCAGGGCCAGGGAGGGCCCGCCGGGACTCAGGCAAGTGTGGGTCCCGGCAGGGTGGCCGGGCGCCGGGCACGGCCGCCACAGCCTCGCTGGTGCCGAGTCTACACCGCGGTGTGAGCCCCGGCAGGGCCTTAGCTTCCTGGGCCTGTCTGCTCTGTAAAAAGGGTGTCGTTTACCTCATTGAGTTGTTGGGAGAAGGAAATGGGCGAGTGATTGTGCAGCGTACGCCCTGAGAGAAAACGCCATCCGCAGTGGTTTTTAGGCAATCCAGTCGTGAAAGTGACGCTTTCCATTTGTGCAGCCTTCAACGAATTGGTTCAGTATCGCTGAACCTCATCGTTTAGAAAAGAAATGTGGAATAATGTGAATGTCAGTCATGCAGAGTTGTGAAGATTGAATGAGCTCTTAACGTTATTACTGCTGTTTTGTGAGTCTGTCTCAAAAATACGTAGTAGTTGGTTTACAAGCCTCTGGCACCTGGTGAATGGTTACCTCGTGCCAAGGAACAGTCTGCTAGTTTAGGGAGAGAATGGAGCCCTAGAAAGTGATTCCCAGTGTTTACTTGTGGATGTGTCACAGCGCTGCAAGAAGCCTCATTTTTTATGGCTCCTTTTTTGTGTTCTTGATCTGCCTTCTCAGGACACTCCTACTCTTTACGACAGGAGGCTGGAAAGAGGACTGTGTTGACAAGTCATGTTCCAGGTAAGTCGGTAATCTCCCCAGATCTTCCTGAACCACTTTAGCAGAACTCTTGAGTGTTTGCTTTGCTTCTCCTACCAGTTCCAGCCTAACAAAGTCCTTTTAGGGACCGGATCTATGATTCATTTCACTGTAGCAAAGGGTGGAGCCCACAGAAGAACTCCAAAGTACTATCTTCTCTCAGTGCTCCTCTTCTCTACCATTTTTCTGCTTGAGTCGTGAGCAAAACTTTTTTTTTTTTAATTACAATTCAAAATTCAAGTTTGGGATTTTGGGTTATTTGCTTTATGGTTGTCAGAGGACTATTATGTGGTCTCGGTTAATGATATATCAGTCCTTTTAGTTGTTCAAGTCGAGAGATGTTTGGAGTCATCTTTGATTCTTTCCTTTCTCTTATAACTTACATTCAGACCCTCTAGTTGGATCTAAAATACATACATACATATCCACAGAATCTGACCAACGGTTACACCATCACAACCACCACCACCACCACTGCCACCATCCTGTCATTGCTCACCTTAAAAATCTTCAATGGCCCTAACTCAGATGTCAGAGTTCTACAGTGACTTAAAAAGCTTTGTGCAATTAGGTTTTACCTCTCTGATCTCATCTTACTTCTGTCTCCTTGTTTCTTGTGAGCTCTAGACTGGCTACTGCTTCCAGGCCTTGGAAATTGCTGTACCATCTGCTTGGAATCTTTTTTCCCCAGAAATGTACAGACTTGCATTCTTACCTCCTTCATATCTCTGCTCAGTGATTACTTTCTCAGTAAAGCTTCCCTGAACACCTGCAGTCAACTTTTCTAACAGTCACTTCTTCTCCTCACTGCTTGGTTGTTTTCCATAGTGATTATCGCTCACTAGATAATACATTATTTGTTTACTAAATGCATAGGCTTATTGTTTGTCTCATCCCTCTGGGAGGGATTTTTTTCCCTTCTTTGTTGATTGTTTTCAGTACCTAGAGTGGTATCTGGTACAAAACAGAGGCTTAGTAAATAGTTGTTGAGTGAATAAACTTTAAAAAATGGTAGGGTAGAATCATGGGGTGGAAGGTGAAGCCTGCATGGAAGTTATTAGTGGCATATGTGATGTTGGGCAGAGTCTGGTTTCTTGGGAATATTAGATAACTAAAATAGAAAAACTTTTTTTTTTTTTAAGATTTTATTTATTTATTTGACAGAGAGAGACAGAGTATAAGCAGAGGGAGAGGGAGAAGCAGGCTCCACACTGAGCAGGGAGCCCCAAGCAGGGCTGGATCCCAGGATCTGGGATCACGACCTGAGCCTAAGGCAGATGCTTAACCGACTGAGCCACCAGGTGCCCCGAAAAACTTTTTTTTTAAAGTAAAAGCTAAAGTAAACTAGTTGCCAATCATTCATTGATTAATTTTTTAAAAAGATTTATTATTTAATTTAGAGAGAGCAAGCGGGTGAGCAAGAGTCAGGGAGGAGGGGGAGAGAGAATCTCCAGCAGACTTCCCGCCGAGCATGGAGCCTGACTTGGCGCTGAATCCCAGGACTCTGAGATCATGGTCTGAGCCAAAATCAGGAGTGATGCTTAACCGACTGGTTTGGGTTAACGTGGGTTTGAGTGTACACTGACATGTAGGCCTTTGTGATCTAGTGCAATACTAAGAGAACTTTCCACAGTGGTGGAAATGTTCTTTATGTGTGCTGTCCAATATGGTAGCCACCAACCCTATATGACTATTGAGTACTTGAACTATGACTAAAGTGACCCAGGAACTGAACTTTAAATTTTATTTAATTTTTAATTTTTATTAATTTAGGGCACCTGGGTGGCTCAGTCGGTTAAGTGACTGCCTTCGGCTCAGGTCATGATCCTGGAGTCCCAGGATCGAGTCTCGCATCGGGCTCCCTGCTCAGCGGGGAGTCTCCTTCTCCCTCTGCCCTTCACCCCACTTGTGCTCTTTCTAGCTCTCTCTCTCAAATAAATAATAAAATCTTTAAAAAAATTTTTTTATTACTTTAAACTTATATAGCCAAATTTGGCTAGTGGCTGTATTGAGCAGTACAGAGCTGGTAGAAAAGCAAGAAAGCGTAAGAAATTAACATAAGTGCTGGAACAAATATCCTAAGTTCTTCTGGGCACAAAGACGAATGAACATCCTAGGCTGCCCAGGCAGTTGAAGGGGGAAGAGAGAGTTGAAGCATCCCTGGGGAAGCAAGGCTGGAACTGGCTTTGGTGGCCCATGGTACCAGGGAGGCAGAGATAGAAGTGAAGTTACACCAAACTGAGGGAGCACTTTGAGCATAGATAGGTAGGGCAAAGAGAGTCTTTCAGGGAACTGCAAACATTTTCTAAAGTGGTGGTTCTCAAACAGGGATGAATTTGTCCCCCTTAGCCCTACCCATAGGGGGCATTTGATAATGTCTGGAGATATTTTTGGTTGTCACAACCTGAGGGGTGTCGTCATGCACTGAAATAAAGTTCTCAGACACTGATCGAGCTGCTGTGCAGGACTGCCTCTGCAAGGGAGAGAGCAGCAGCTAAATTCTGCGCATAGCCTTTATTTTATTTTTTATCAGAAAAGCAAGGACAGATGCATCAAAGGGTGGGAAAGGAGTACAAAGGGATGGCAACTATCTTGAAGCCGTAAAGCAGGTTTGCATCCTCCCCTACGCGCCAGCACTCAGGGAGGCAGTCATGGGATAAGGGAGGAGAGAGAGGTTTCTGCCAGCAGTCGCCAGGTGCAGGAAGGGGGACTGAGAGTTATATTCTTCCAAAGCTCTAAACCTATGCCCTGCCCCCGGGGATCATGGGATCCTGTTCATACCAGGCCATTGCGTTCGATAGCCTGAGACCAGGAACGTTGCTGACGGTTCAGCTGCTTCCATAGTCACCCCTTAGGGCTTACAATACACGTTCTAAGAATGACCCAGGGGATCATGGGATCCCGTTCAAAGCAGACTATTGCGTTCAACAGCCCAAGAACAGGAATGCTGCTGATGCTTCAGCTGCTTCCACAATTACCCCTTAGGGTTTACAATACATTTTCTAAGAATAATTCCAGGGGGGCAGCGGGGAATTGCTACTAGTATCTAATGGGTAGAGGCTAGGGATGCTACTAACTAAATATTCTACAATGTACAGGACAGCTCCCACAACAGTTATCTAGCTTAAAATGTCAATTATGCCAAGGTTGAGAAACTCTGACCTAAATAAAGAACAAAGGGTATCTAGTAATGAGATTATGTGAGTTTTCTTTTTTAGACTTAATATAATGACATTCATGAATATGTGTTCAAAACTTAAAATATGAAACATCTTTGCATTGGTGGAATAAAACATTATCTTGTGGGGCGCCTGGGTGGCTCAGATGGTTAAGCGTCTGCCTTCGGCTCAGGTCATGATCCCAGGGTCCTGGGATTGAGCCCCACATCGGGCTCCCTGCTCCTTGGAAGCCTGCTTCTCCCTCTGCCTCTCTCTCTCTCTCTGTCTCTCATGAATAAATAAAATCTTTTAAAAAAAAATATCTTGTGCATTAATTTAGTATTGATTTTTTTTAAAGATTTATGTATTTATTTTACAGAGAGAGAGAGAGTGTGCATGTGTGGGGGGAAGGGGCAAAGGGAGATGGAGGAAGAATCCTAAGCAGACTCCCCGCTAAGCGCAGAGCCTGACATGGGGCTCAGTCTCACCACCCTGTGATCAGGACCTGAACCACAATCAAGAGTTGGATGCTTAACTGACTGAGCCACCCAGGCGCCCCTCGTATTGATTTTTAAATTTGGTTTATCAAGTTGGGTTTGTAAAAGCCAATCATTTAAAACCATTGTGGAAAGTAGGAAAAGATGGGAAACTTTTTGATTCATATGATAAAGCTAACCCTAATACCTGGGTAAGAATAAATACAAATGGAAAAAGGAATTTTCCCTGGTGCCAAAAGGGAAAGAGATCCTCCTCTCCTCCCTTTTTTTAGAGTATTTCCTTTGAGAAAAACCTGTAATTGTAAGTCCTTTCCCTCTCCCTTTGAGATGCTTGTGAATCTTTTTCAAAGCTAAATAAGCGCCTGCCCATTTTTCAGGGCAGTCAAGTCTTTCATCTCTTTGAAATGAAAACCTGAAGGGCAATGCACCTCTGTCTCCCAGTCTGTGTTAGAGTTTAGCCTAGGCTCCTGGCTCCAAGTTCTAACTATCTGCTTGTCATAAAGATAGGAGAAGTTTTATTTTTCTTGGAGTAAAAGCAATTAACACAGTTGGCCACTCCAGTTACCAGGTGAATTTAGGATGAACTGTATGTTGCAAGTGATGCTGCCAAGTCCTCTTACTTGAGGACAAATTATTTCTTTGAAAACATCTGTGTTATAGATTATACATGCCTGGCTTTATAAAAGGGTGAGGTTTCTTTCTGTCCTTGCAGTCTCATTAGTGATTGCTGTGATGCTTATTCAGTAGTAAAACTGTTCTCTCTTCTACGTTGTGGAGAGGATTTTCTGCTTGGCAGATTGGATTTTTTAACTATTTTCCCAACACCTCACAAAGGTAAATTACCTCTTTAAAACCAAAGACCAGTATCACTAATGAAGATACGTGCAAAATATCCAAATAAAATAATAGACTATTGAATCAACCACCCTTGGAATGAAAAATTTGTCACAGCCAAAAAAGGTCTCTTTCACCATTGAAAGTAATAAGAATGCCATTTTAAATGCATACATTTTTTGCATGTATTATAATTTGACTAACAAACTATTGCTGAACATTTGAGCTTTTTCTAAAGTTTTGATATTTTAAATAATACCATGAATGAACACTGTTTCCTTAGAATATTTTCCTTGAACTGTGTCCTCTAATTCTTTGCCCTTATTTAAGGTCCAATTCAGGGACTGCCGATGGCATGAAACTATTCTTCAGTCTTCTTGCCCAGGGGTGTCAAATTATTTTAATTATAGATTATCAATACAGGGTTTAATTATATACCATAAATGGGTTTTGTTTGTAAATTAGTTATGTATACATCTATCTTTCAAGATGTCTTTTTCTGAACTCACTGGATCATTTTTTTGAACCTTAGTGGATCATCGTTTTTTTATTTACCTATCATGTAAACTATAAAAAACACAACTAAGCACTTGACTATATGCTGTCAAATGTTGAATGCAGATTTTAAAAAATTTTAGAATTCTTTTGCCTTTGACAGAATTAACTCTTCTGAAGCAAAGCTCTTATATTAGTCTCTTACCCTTATTGTAAAACAATGCCAAACACATACTTATCCAATTACTACTTAACTTAGATCGGATTCCTGGTCATTGCCACAACTACTGAATCTTGTTCCCTTTCTTCTATAGCCAGGGCAGTTTTACCCCTTAACCAGTGACAGAAGTGGCCTTGACTGTGACTGAGCCTAAATATGTTTGCTATTTCAGGTGACATTTAGTGATGTGGCCATAGACTTCTCTCATGAAGAGTGGGGATGGCTGGATTCTGCTCAGAGGGATTTATACAAGGATGTGATGGTCCAGAATTATGAGAACCTGGTTTCTCTAGGTAAGCATATCTCCCTCTTCACCCCAAAGAGGGAGATCTTCTGTTACTCAGAATTGCTGGAGATTCTCCTGAGTAAATGGCTGGAATTTTGTTCCATGTTCCCAAGGATGTGTAGAGCTCTATTGTGCCCTTCCTGAAGCTTATTTTCCCATTTCAATGACCATCCTTCAGAACTGCCTTTGGTTCCTTTTATGATGGTGGCCTCTCCTCCATGAGAACCATAGTTTAAACAGGTTTATATTTTTCCTGTAAGCAGGTCTTTCCATACCTAAGCCATATGTGATCAGCTTACTGGAGGATGGGAAAGAACCTTGGATGGTGGAGAAAAAACTGTCAAAAGGTATGTTTCCAGGTAAGTCATGCAGAATCAGGCACAAGAGGTCTTTGTTAAACATGCTTGTAGAAAGGATGGAGGCATTTTAGGATATTTTAGGGATCTTGTCTTCAGAGATCCCAAATGTAACAAATTGAGGGATCCTTAGCTTAGATTTTTTTTTTTTCCCATAGTGAATTGATATTTATTTCAGGACATGCCATGTCAAAATAAAACAAAAGAGTCAACCCTCGCCTTTAACAATAATATTGTATTATATAAAAGCACTTTACAACTCCATCCCATCTTTGAGTATAAGTTAGTGGTATGTGGGCTAATGATTATCTGAAACCTTAGCTTAGATTTTAAAACGGCCATTCCTCCATCCCAAATTATTATCTTTCTGTATTATGCTATCTAATCAAAAGTGAAGTTTTTGTGATCATAATAGTTCAAATTGTTGTTTTATTTGAAACAAAATAAAGCAAATTGTTCTCTTTAAGACTACCTAAGGAAAAATATACCAATCATTTTAGGTGAAGAAAGGCTGTCAGATGGGAAATCCCTTTTCCCCTAAGGCTGAGCTTCAGAGGTCAAATGTGAACATAAGAGTTAGAGGAAGTAAAGAATGTATAAAAAGGTTTCTAGGAACAATATTTTCTATGATTTCACACAGATCTTCAACAAACAAAGCCTAATTCTTTCTGAGTGATAAAGAATATTTTGTTCATTGTTAACTTTTTAATGTACTACTATAAATTGTGCATTTTAAGCATGCTAATCTGACAGCAAATTGAGATTAATTGAAAGTTGGAGAACCAAGGCTGTGAGACAAAATGTGGTCTTCCACATAAATGTAGATATAGAATAGAATGTTGGCTTGGAATCCAGAAGACTTTATGCGTTTTTTCCTGATAATTTCACTTTTAGTCCATATACTGATTGCCTGTTTTTAACTCATTTCGCTTATTACACCCTGTTCCCATCTTTGTGAGCTGTCTCTATTCTCTGCTCCATTTGAACTTTGTTCAGAAATTATTGAATAAATGAGAATTCAGTCATGTGCTTTCTGGGGGTGGAGATGTGCTCTGTTTCTTATCTCTTATTCTTACCATAGAAGTTTCTTTTCAAGAAGTACAGAAAAAGCAGTGTTTTGCTTTCTTGATATATTTCAGATTGGGAATCAAGATGGGGAAACAAGAAATTATTAACGAAGGAGGATATTTATGACGAAGATTCACCCCAAACGGTAATAATAGAAAAAATTATAAAACAAAGTCATGAATTTTCAAATTTTAACAAGGACTGGGAATATATAGAGAAGTTGGAGGGGAAACATGAAAATCAGGTAGAACATTTCAGACCGGTGACCCTCACCTTTAGAGAAAGCCCCACTGGGGAAAATGTTGACAAATACAATCCATTTAGAAGCATCTTCTATTTAAAGTCTATTCTTTCTGAACCACAGAGAATTTCTGCTGAAGGGAAATCACATAAACATGATATATTTAAGAAGAGCTTACCAAAAAAGTCTTTTATAAAAAATGAGGAGATCAATGGTGGAAAGAAACTTTTGAATTCTAAAGAAAGTGTGGCAGCCTTCAGCCAGAGCAAATCTCTTACTCTTAATCAGACCTATAATAGAGAGAAAGTCTATACATGCAATGAATGTGGGAAAGCCTTTGGCAAACAATCAATCCTTAATCGCCATTGGAGAATTCATACAGGAGAGAAACCATATGAATGTCATGAATGTGGGAAGACTTTTAGCCATGGCTCATCCCTAACTCGACATCAGATAAGTCACAGTGGAGAGAAACCTTACAAATGTATTGAATGTGGGAAGGCCTTTAGCCATGTGTCCTCACTTACTAATCATCAGAGTACTCACACTGGAGAGAAACCATATGAATGTATGAACTGTGGAAAGTCATTTAGTCGTGTTTCACATCTCATTGAACATCTGAGAATTCACACTCAAGAAAAACTCTATGAGTGTCGAATATGTGAGAAGGCCTTCATTCATAGGTCATCTCTCATTCACCATCAGAAAATTCATACCGGAGAGAAACCTTATGAATGTAGTGAATGTGGAAAAGCCTTTTGCTGTAGCTCACACCTCACTCGACATCAAAGAATTCACACTGTAGAGAAACAATTCGAATGCAACAAATGTCTGAAAGTCTTTAGCAGCTTGTCATTTCTTATTCAGCATCAGAGTATTCATAATGAAGAAAAGCCTTTTGAATGTCAAAAATGCAGGAAATCCTTCAACCAGCCAGAATCACTGAATATGCATTTAAGAAATCACACTAGATTGAAACCTTATGAATGCAGTATATGTGGGAAAGCCTTCAGTCATAGGTCATCCCTGCTTCAACATCACAGAATTCATACTGGAGAGAAGCCCTATGAATGTATTAAATGTGGGAAGACCTTCAGCTGTAGTTCAAACCTTACTGTACATCAGAGAATTCATACTGGAGAAAAGCCATATAAATGTAACGAGTGTGGGAAAGCTTTTAGCAAAGGCTCAAATCTTACTGCCCATCAGAGAATACATAATGGAGAGAAACCCAATAGTGCAATAAGTGTAGAAAAGCCTTTAGGCCATATGAATCATTATACATGTGAAAAATCACACAAGAGAGAAACTGTATGAATAGAATATTTGTCATAATACACTTTAGCCATAGATCTTTCCTGAAAATTTATGCTGGAAAAAAGTCTTATGAATGTAATAAATATGGGAAGGTCTTTAGCAGTGGTACAAGCCTTACTGTCCATCACAGTTCACACTGTAGAGAGACCATTTATTGCCTTCATACTGCCTATGAAAGCAATAAATGTGGGAAAGCCTTTAGCCAGTATTAATCCCTTAATTGACATAAGTCCACACTGGAGAAAAACCCTATATATGTAACATGGGAAAGACATTAAGCAATATGAATTTCTTATTGAGTACACACGAGAGAGAAGCAATATGAATGTAAAAATTGTGGCAAGTCCTTCAGTTAAGGTGTATTCCTTATTCTATATCCACTCACACTGGAGAGAGCTTATATGAGAAGTGTAGCAAACTGTTCACTGAGAGTTTTTATCTTGCTAGACATCAGAAGATTAATGCTAGAACAGCCTGAAGGATGTAGGAGTTACGTGTAAATCTTTCTTTGCAACGATGCTGTTTGTAAGCAGTTCTACAGAAGAGCAAATGAGTAGATTGTAACTGAATATGCCTTATAGCAGTAGCATGCAATTTTACTCAAGTCCTACATAAAAGTTTCTTTAGCTAATGGGCATGTGAAGATATTTAGTCACCCAGTGGATCCAGAAAATGTTTTAAAGTTAAAAATTAAAGCTGCAAAAGAAGTAAAAGGTGGTGTGAATAAAGTTTTTGGTCTCTAATAAAATCAGTTTGTATATAATGAACTCTTTCACTGTGACACTGATATTTCTTACAAAATTTTCTACTTTCCTCTTGAAGAATTAAGCCTTACTGTAGCCTTTAGTGGGAGACTAGCTGAGCTAGAGAAAAATGGCCTGATCTCTGTGCTAAGAATATCATTATTTTGGTGTCAGTTTCACACATTTTAATTTTTACAAGTACAGGGAGAGCATAACCAAGAAACAACAGAGCAGGCTTAATGGTGGATGTGCTTTGCAATCTGAATCCTAAAGGATGAGCACTAATTACATAGCTGTGTGCGGGCACATACACTCTGCGAGTCCTTCTAGGCAGAGTACAGAAGCCTGTTCTGTCATGTTGGCTGCATCTGGACTCCGTGATCCAGTGTCTAGTCTCAAGTTGCGTGGCACTGAGCTGTTAGGGCTGGCAGCATTACTAGTAACAGCAGCAGTCATTTCTCCATGCTGGCTTGTAGTTACGAGAGCTTACATTGAAATTAATAGTCCAGAGCTGTCTCCATTACTTTTCCTCCAGCCTGCCTACCAGTTTTGAAGACAGTTACTTGTAATATAAGTCTTCTTGAAATACTTAGACAGTTTTCATTTTCTGTACCAAACCCCGACAGATACTCATGGTTTGTAAAGAGCCTGGCTTCAGATAGTCTAAGTTTTAGATAAATTGAATAGTCTGACTGGCCCCATGGTTTCCTATCTTGTGACTAGGCAGCTGATACATGTCAATGATTAGAACTGTCTGAACCCTTAGAAGTAAAGCGCACTTATACAGCTTATATTTCAGGTTATATTCTCTATGGCATTTGATGTAAGTAAATTATTTTTAAAAAGAATGTTATATCACTGACATAATTCTGATGTGGAATGAGTGATAGGGTTTCCAACTTTCGACAAAATATTCTGCTCTAGTACATGAACTACCTTAACTGAAAACCAAGAGGTGAAGGCACATTCCATAGCAATTCTCAGTAGAGATAGTGGGTTTGGAATGGTATGGTGAATTTTTAAAAAGAGATTTATCTTTCCTTTGATTTAGTTTTATTTATGAGATTTTGAGATTCTAAAGAACATTGAAGGATCTTTGAGAGACCTAATTAAGGAAGCACGGAATGGTATCAAACAAGGATTAAGAACCGTTGTGATTATGGGTAGACTGGCCACTATATATATCCAGTTGTAGGATAATGACATGCTTTCTGTTTCTCCCATTCTCTGCTTCCCCTGCTCTCCCAAGCACTGGTACCAGATGAAGTAGTACTTCAATCCCTAGGTTTTATTTGCTTTCACTACACATAGTTTTATGTTACCTTGTTATTTTGTTATGAGATGATTCATCCAAATATTCATACTTTGTCAATTAAGAAGCATGAGCATACACATGATGACATCTTACAATGATACTGAACTAGGAAAAGAAAGCCAGGGTCAAATATAGTGAATGACTTAAAGCAGTGAGTATATTACCTTATTGGAAGATTGGGCTAAGATCATGATGTTACAATGTCACTGATGGAGAATCATAGTCATGTCTGTTAACCATTTCTTGAGCAGATAAATAAGACACTTTATACCTTTTAAGAGCTCAAAACTGTGTGTGTGTGCATGTGTGTGTGTGAAGAGTCATGTTACCTGGATATAAATCCAAGTTGTATGTATACTGTCTTTATATGACTTTGGACAAATTACTTCACCATCTATAAATGGACAGTAACACCTCACAGGATTATTATGAAGATAAATGAGTTAATTGGTGTAAAATGTTTACAGTGCCCGATACCTCAAAAGCATTCAGTGGATATTAGCTATTAATTTCATCATCATTATTATCTTCACGTGGCTGCTTCATCATTCTGGTCTGTCCTATCTAGTGAGTCTTCCTAATCACCTGTCTCTCTTATCTACTTAATTGTTTCACTTTTTGGAGTTTCTTACAAGACACTCCCATTTCCTTCCAACAAGTCCTCCTTTGGTATTTGAGCCATTTCCCCAAATACTCCAAGGAGACACAAAGAGCACCAGATTGGAGAAGGTAAGACAACCCACCTGGGCTGCAGGAAGGAGGAAGGGTGCCCTAAAGATGTGTTTTGGAGAACAGGCAGAATGAGGGAGGCATCAGGTCCCTCTATGGAGAAGAGGTCAGGCTTCACCCAGTGAGATCAGAAGCCTAGCAACAGCCTTCAGTATCACCTCTCAGCACGAGGTCCTCTGGGCTGAGTGCAGCTGCCCTCACTGCCAGGTTATGACCGTGTTATTGAAGGTCTCCGATGCCTGGAAGGCGAGAGTAGCTTCATTAGTTTGGGGTTAGTCAGATGTGATTAGAACCTATTGTGCAGTCACTGGTACAGATCCTGAAAGAACTGAGGCACTTATCACCGAGCACTTCCCAGGAGTCTTATCTCTGTGCTGGGCATCAAAGGGGAGTCAGACACTTTAAATACGATTTTAAGCAGTTGTGTTAGGGGGAAAAATTGCCGATGAAGAAGCCGTTGATGAAAGAATGACGAGGCTGTGTGGCTTGAGAGGCACAGAAAGTAAGAGCTCTGGCATGAAAGGTGAATAGGAAGAGAATTATGATAAACAATATTGTTAGCAGTTGCAGAGGAGCCTCGTGGCTGGCTGTGCACCTAAACTGTGTAACGTAACGTGAACTTTAAGCCAAGGGTTTTATATGCAGCATTAAAACAAATGTTTCCAGTTCAACCCAATTCCTGGAGCTGAATCAGCCTATTGAGACTGGCAGTTGCCTTCTGTACAGTCATACTTCAGAGATATTGCAGGTTTGGTTACAGACCACTGTAATAAAGCAAGTTTGGCAATGAAGTGAGTCCAGTGAATTTTTTGGTTATGTTTATACTGTAGCCTAGTAAGTATGCAATAGCATTATATTTTCAAAAAGTACATATGTTAATTGAAAAACACTTTATTGCTAAAAAATGCTAAACATCTGAGCTTCAGTAAGTCATAATCTTTTTGCTGGTGGAGGAGGGTGTCGTTTGTCGTTGATGGCTGCTAACTGATCAGGGTGGCAGTTGCCGAAGGTTGGGGTGGCTGTGGCAATTTCTTTTTTTTTTTTAAGATTTTTATTTATTTATTTGAGACAGAGAGAATGAGAGAGAGAGAGAGCACATGAGAGGGGGGAGGGTCAGAGGGAGAAGCAGACTCCCCGCTGAGCAGGGAGCCCGATGCAGGACTCGATCCAGGGACTCCAGGATCACGACCTGAGCCGAAGGCAGTCGCTCAACCAACTGAGCCACCCAGGCGCCCGGCTGTGGCAATTTCTTAAAATAAGACAGCAATGAAGTTTGCTGCATCAATTGACTTTTCCTTTCAAGAATGATTTCTCTGTCGTGAAATGCTGTTTGATAGCTCGAACTTCAAAACTGTGGAGTCAATCTTCCCAAACTTTGTTGCTGCTTTATCAACTAAGTTATGTAATATTCTAAATCCTTTGCTGTCATGTCAACAATCTTCACCATCTTTACCAGGAGTAGAGTCCATTTTAAGAAACCATTTTCTTTGCTCATCCATAAGAAGCAACTCCTCATCCCTTCAGTTTTATCATGAGATTGCAGCAATTCAGTCACATCCTCAACCTCCAGTTCTAATTCTAGTTCACTTGCTATTTCTGCCACATCTGTACTAATTTCCTCCAGTCGAGTCTTGAATCCCTCAAAGTCATATACAAGGGTTGGAATTAACTTCTTCCAAACTCCTGTTCATGTTGATAGTGTGACCTCTTTCCATGAATCATGAATCATGAATGGCATCTAGAAGGATGAATTCTTTCCATAAGATTTTTACTTACTTTGCCCAGCTCCATAGAGGAATCACTATCTATGGCAGCGATAGCCTTACAAAATGTTTTTCTTAAATAATAAGACCTGAAAGGCAAAATTACTCCTTGATTCATGGGCTGCAAAATGGATGTTGTGTTAGCAGGCATGAAAACATTAATCTCATAGTACACGTCTATCAGAGCTCTTGGGTGACCAAGTGCATTGTTAAGTAGACCATAATATTTTGAAAAGAATCTTTTTTTCCTGAACGGTCGGTCTTTTTGTTGTTGTTTTTATGTTATGTTAGTCACCATACAGTACATCATTAGTTTTTGATGTAGTGTTCCATGATTCATTGTTTGAGCAGTAGGTCTTAACAGTGGGCCTAAAATATTCAGTAAGCCATGTTGTAAACAGATGTGCTGTCATCCAGGCTTTGTTGTTTCATTTATAGAACACAGGCAGATCAGATTTAGCATAATTCTTAAGGGTCCTGGGATTTTCAGAATGGTAAATGGACACTAGGTTTCCACTTAAAGTCATCAGCTGTGTTTGCCTCTAAGAAGAGTCAGCTTGTACTTTGAAGCTTTAAGCCAGGCATTGGCTTCTCTCTAGCTATGAAAGTCCTAGATGTTATCTTTTTCCAATGGAAGGTGTTTCATTTACATTGAAAATTTATTTAGCGTAGCCACCTTCATTAATTATTTTATCTAGATCTGGATAACTTGCTTCAGCTTCTACATCAGCACTGCTTCACCTTGTACTTTTATGTTCTAGGGATGGCTTCTTAAACTGCATGAATCAACCTCTGCTAGCTTCCAGCGTCTCTCCTGCAGCTTTCTCACCTCTCTCAGCCTACCTAGAATTGAAGAGTTAGGGCCTTGCTGTGGATTGGGCTTTGGTTTATGGGAATGTTGTGGCTGGTGTTCACACATTTGTGTGTTCACTGGAGTAGCACTTTTCATTTTCTTCAAGAACTTTTCCTTTGCCTTCACAACTTGGCTGTTTGGTGCAAGAGGCCTAGCTGTCAGCCTCTTTTGGCTTTTGAATGCCTTCCTCACTAAGCTTAATCATTTCCAGCTTTTGAGAGATGTGTGACTCTTCCTTTCACTTGAAAACTTAGAGGCCATTGTAGGGTTGTCACTTGGCCTCATTTTAATATTGTGTCTCAGGGAATAAGGAGGCCTGAGAGGAGAGGGATGGGGGAACAGGAGGTTAGTGGAGCAGTCAGAACACACTATTGATTAAGTTATGGTATTATATGAGTGCGGTTCCTGGCACCCCAGCAATGACAATAGTGACATCAAAGATCACTGATCACAGATCACCATAACAAATACAATAATAAAGAAAAGGTTTTAAATATTGTGAGAATCACCAAAATGTGACAGAGACACAAAGCAAGCAAATGCTGTTGGAAAAACGATGTCAACAGATTTGTTTGATGCAAGTTTGCCACAAACCTCCATCAGTTTGTAAAAAAAAATGCAAATCACAATAAAGTGAAGTGCAAGAAAATGAGGTATGCCTATATAAACTTGGGGAAGTCCCTTCAACTCTCAAGCCTTGATTTCTACATCAACACAAAATTAATTCCTGTTTTACCAGGTGGTTGTGAGAATTAAAGAGAAAATATTCATAAAGCAAACGGTGGGGTGCCTGGCACATGTGAGTTGCTTGGTGTGTTTTTCTTACTTTTATTAATCCTCCCATTGACTATGAGGTGAATGTCACAATCATCTCCGCGGCATTCTCAGCACCCTGAGACTCAACTCTAGTAAGTTTCCCATAGTCACACATCTTAAGAACACAGGCCAGATTTGAGCACCCAGTAAAAGACCATACAACTGCCCCATGACAATATTGTGTCTCAGAAGATTAAGGTTTCTTTTGGCAACCACACAGGTCCTCTTATGCCTCTTTGAACAAAAAATATTCCCTTGGCATGCTGTTCCTTCAGCCTAGAATGTCTTCCTTATCTCCCTTATTACCAAGCTCATCTGCCAGAGGGACTACTGTCCACCTTAAAAAGTTCACTTTAGTTGTCACCCAAGCTTCCTCAGACACCAATGGAGGAAATGAGGAATCAAAAAGCTGTAAGGCATATAGAAAATCAAGAGCAAAGAGTCAGAAATTCCTCCTTTCCAGTAATTACTTTTAATGTAAATGGATTAAATTCTCCAATAAAAGAGATTGGCAGAATGGATTAAAAAATGATCGAAGCAAATGCTGTCTACAAGTGAGTCACAGTAGATCCAAAGACACAAATATGTTAAAAATCAAAGAGTGGAAGAATTCTTCTTTGCAAATAGTAACCAAAACAGCTATGGTGCCTCCTATATTAATATCAGACAAAATAGACTTTAAATCTGAAAGATTACAAGTGACAAGGTCATTATATATTAATAAAGTGTTCACAAGAAAAAGATATAACAGTTATCTAATTGCACATTTGCACATCTAATAACAGACCCATCAAAATATATGAGGCAAAATTGGCAGAATTAAAGGGAGAGATAGACTTGTACGTTAATAGTTGGAGACTTCAATACTCCACTTGAAATAATGGATAGTTCACCACACAGAAGATAAATAAAGGACTTGAACAACTCAATAAACCAACTACACCTAACAGACAAATAACAATACTCCACCTCAAAACTGCAGAATGTACATTCTTCTCAATTGCACACAGCACATTTTTCATGATGGATTTATTTATTAGCCCATAAAACAAGTATCAGTAGATTTAACAGATAGCATACAAAGTAACTTTCTTGACCACAACAGGAGGAAGTTAGAAATTAATAAGGAAAAGTAGGCAAATATGCAGAAATTAAACTATGCACTCTTAAAAAATTGTTATGGTCTGAATGTTTGTGTCCTCCCCAAGTTCCTATGTTGAAGTCCTACTACCTAATGTGATTGTATTAAAAGGTGGGTCTTTTGAGAGGTGCTTAGGTCGTAATGGTGGAACCCTCATGAATGGGATTAGTGCTCTTATAAAAGAGATCCCATAGAACTCTCTAGCCCCTTCTGCCCTGTGAGGATACAAAAGAAGTCTGTGACCTGAAAGAGAGCCTGACATCGCTGGCACCCTGATCTCAGACTTCTACCCTCAAGAACTGTGAAAAATAAATTTAAGCTGCTTATAAACTACCCAATCTCTGGTATTTGGTTATAGCAGCCTGAATGGACTAAGAAAACAACCAAAGGGTCAAAGAATAAGTCACAAATCAGAAAATATCAATCAGAAAAGACTAATGAAAATCAAAACACAGCATACCAAAATTAATGATATATAGAAAAAACAGTGCTAGGAGGGAAACTTGTAACATAAATTGCCTATATGAGAAAATATCTGGAATCAATAACCTAACTTCACACCCTCAGGAACTACAAAAAGGACAAATTAAACAAAAAGGTATGGAAGAAGGAAATAATAAAAAAACAAAGTTGAGATAAACCAAATAGAAAACAGAAAAACACAGAGAAAAATCAATGAAACCAAAAGTTGACTCTTTGAAAAGATCAACAGAATTGGCAGACCTTTACCTAGACTTTTAAGAGCACAAATAACCAAAACCAGAATTGAAAATGGAGATATTACAACCATTCTTACAGAAGTAAAAGGGATTATAAGACAATATTAAGAACAACTGTAGGGGCACCTGGGTGGCTCAGTTGGTTAAGTGTCCGACTGATTTTGACTCAGGTCATGATCTCAGGGGTCATGAGATCAAGCCCCTTGTCAGGCTCCTTGGGCGTGGAGCCTCCTTAAGATTCTCTCTCTTTCTCTCTCTGCCCCTCCCCCATCATTCATGTGTGCTCTCACTCTCTCTCTCTCTCAAAAAAACACAAAAAACCAAAACAACAAAACAACTGTACACCAACAAATTATTTTTCTCTTTCTCCAATTTTTTATTTAAATTCCAGTTAACATACAGTGTAATATTAGTGCACCAACAAATTAGATAACCAAGCAGAAATGGACAAAATCCTTGAAACACAGAAATTATCTAAACTGACTCAAAGAAATAGAATATTTCAACAGATCTACAAAAAGTAAAGAGATTAAATCAGTAATCAAAAACATCCCAACAAAGAAAAGTCCTGGACTAGATCACTATACAAGTGAATTCCACTAAACATTTAATGAAGAATTAACACCAATGCTTCTTCTCAAGCTTCCAAAAAATTAAGAGGAGGAAACAATCCCTAACTTATAAAGCCAACATTATTCTGATATGAAAGCCAGATTAAAAAAAATCACATGAAAAGAAAATTATAGGTCAATGTTCTTTGTGAATATAGATGCAAAAATCGGGGCGCCTGGGTGGCTCAGTCATTAAGCGTCTGCCTTCGGCTCAGGTCATGATCTCAGGGTCCTGGGATCGAGCCCCGCATCGGGCTCCCTGCTCGGCGGGAAGCCTGCTTCTCCCTCTCCCACTCCCCCTGCTTGTGTTCCCTCTCTTGCTGTGCCTCTCTCTGTCAAATAAATAAATAAAATCTTTAAAAATATATATATAGATGCAAAAATCCTCAACAAAATATTAGCAAATAGAATTCAACAGCATATTAAAAGGTTTGTTCACCATGACCAAAGAGAATTTACCCCAGCAATGCAAGAGTGAGAAGGAAATCAACCAATGTAATCCATCCCATTAGTAAAATGAAAAAACTCACATGATCATCCCAATTTATGCAGAAAAGGTATTTAACAAAATCCAACAACCTTCATGATAAAAATGCTCAGAAAACTAGGAACAGAGGGAAAATTCCTCAACATGATGGTATACATGAAAAAAACTACAGCTAACATTGTCCTCAGTGGTGAAAGACTGAAAGCTTTTCCTCTAAGGTCAGAAAAAGACAGAAGACTTGCTTTCACAGTTACCATTCAGCATTGTACTTGAAGTTCTACCCCAGAGCTATAAAGCAAGAAAAGGAAATAAAGGGCATCCACAATGGAAAGGAAATTGTAAAAGTATGTTTTTGCAGCTGACATGATCCTATATATAAAAGGATTCACAAAAAAATTCACTAACACTAATAAGGCTAATAATACATGAATTCAGCAAAGTTGCAGGGAAAATCAGTACCCCAAATCAATTGTGTATCTATGGAACAGGAATGACCAATACAAATAGGAAATTAGGAAACTCCTTCCATTTATAATAGTACCTACAAGAGGAAAATATTTAGTAATAAATCTAACCGAGGTGAAATATTTGTATGCTGAAAACTAAAACACATTGTGGAGAAAATTAAAGATGACCTAAATAAGTGGAAAGATAACTCATATTCAAAAGAAAACAAAAAGACTTAACATTGTTAAGATGTCAATACTACCCAAAGAGATACACAGATTCAATGCAATTAAAATTCCAACAGCCTTTTTTTTTTCCAGAAATGGGAAAGCCAATCCCTAAATTCATATGGAATTTCAAAGGGCCCCAAATAGCCAAAACAATCCTAATGGAGGACTCATATTACCCAACTTCACAATTTATTACAGTGCTACATTAGTTATAACAGTATGGCAGTGACATAAGGACAGACATACAGACCAATGGAATAGAATAGAGAACCTAGAAATAAACCCTTACATATATGGTCGATCAATTTTCAGCAAGGATGCCAAGACCATTTAAGGAGAAGGACACCCTGAAAAAATGGAAAAGAAGGCAACATTTCCTAACTCATTTTATGATGCCAGAATTGTCCTAATACTAAAATCAGACACAGATACTACAAGAAAGAAAAACAAAACAAAAAGACTACAGACCAGTATCCCTTATGAAAATGGATGCAAACATACTGAAAAGACTAGCAATAGACATTTCTCCAAAGAGGATACATAAATGACTAATAAACACATGAAAAATGGTCAACATAATTAGTCATCAAAAATGCAAATCAAAACCACAATGAGATCACTGCTGAGATGGCTATAACAGGAAAATTTAAAAAAGGGAAAATAAGTGTCAGTGACATTGTGGAGAAAATGGAACCCTTTGTGCAATGCTTATGGGAATGTAAAATGGTACAGCCCTTGTGGAAACCAGTATTTTGATTCTTCAAGAGGTTAAATACAGAACTACCATATTTTTCAGCAGTTCCACTTCTAGATATATACTCAAAAGAATTGAAAGCAGGGACTCAAACAGATAATTAATCACTGACATTTATGGTGACAGCATTATTCACAATAGCCAAAAAGGATGAAAAACAATCCAAATATCCATCAACACATGAATTGATAAACAAAATGTGGCGTATACATACAATGGAATATTATTCAGCCTTGAAAGGAATAGAATTCTGATACATACTACAATATTTATGGACCTTGGAAACATACTGAGATAAGCCATACACAAAAGGACAAATATTGTATGATTCCATTTATATGAGGTACCTAGAGTAGGGAAATTCATAAAGACATGAAGTAGAATAAGAGGTCACCAGCAGCTGGGGGCAGGGTGGAAGGAGGAGTTATTGTTTAATTGAATAGTTATTTGGAATGATGAAAAATTTCTAGAAATGGAGTGCTGAGGAATGCACAGCAGTGTGAATGTATTTAATACTATTGTACATTTAAAAATGGTTAAAATGGTAAACTTTATATATTATATATCCTATAATAAAAAGAAAAAAAACCTCAATACGTAATACATAGCCTTCTTGTTCTAAGGAAATTGGATGTTATGTCTTTGTTTCTAAAAGAAGTATGGCAAACGGGAGAAACCCATGCAAATTATCCAAGTCTCATATAAGATAATATATATTTCATGGTAATTTTCAGAGTGCCACAAACCACACCTGCTAGCTTTTGTCTCCTGGAACTGAGCTAACTTATCTCTGTTGGAACCCACCAGTAGACAAGTTAATGGAAATTACACACTAAGACCAGAATGGGACATGTCAAGAAAAGACAGGACCGTGTCTGTAAGTACTCACCAATTACATTGAGAAGAACCTGATTTTTTGGAAGGGTGGCAGGTCCTAACATGTAAACAAATTGCTTAATTATTTGTGGTTTTATTTCTCCTTTAAAAATTATTTTTGTAAGAATAATAGCCTCATACAGGATTACTCATTGATAATTAGTCAATACTTACGTGAGAAAAAAACATTTGTTGATGACTGTAGGTTGCTGATTACATAATGATTTAAATTCTGGAATTGATATGGAACATACAAATCCATTTCCTCATTGTAAATCTTAGGAGAATTGAGACACTGAAAGACCCAAGACATAGATGCAGGAAATGTTCAGAGAACATGTGAATTCTTATAATAATTGAGTGAATCAGTAGTTTGTAGTACGGTCTTTGGACCAGCAACATCAGCACCTCGAAACCTGGGATAAATGCAAACTCTCAGGACATTGTTCCTGGCAGAGAGGAACATCTGAACAAAGGCCTGGTAGCTGGAGAGGCTGGGTTTTAGGGAGGGAAAGAAGTTCTATTGTGTTGATGTAGTTTGGGGTGGTTGGGAGAGCATTCATCAAGGCAGAGAGGGGAGGGGTTGGAACCTAAAGTATCTTTCCTGACATATTAGGGGTTTGGATGTCATCCTAAGAGCAACAGGGAATGTGGAAACAAAGGAGCACCTTCTTCATGCCCCAGGGACAAACTGGGTCATTAATAAGGGAACAAATGCTGGGCATGGCTATGGCATCCTGAAGAATGGACCACCCCTAGAAGGCATCCTTGCAGGAATTCAGCCTCTACCAGGGTCTTCTAGTTTCTCCACAGGAGAAAAGGCCAGAGCTGTTTTTAAATTGTTTACATTCTCCGTGGTGGAAATTTTTTGTTGTTGGTTTGTTTTGTTTTACAAACCCTTTGGGGACCCTCAACCTATGCCTCTAGGCTGAAGGTGGACTCCCAGGAAGTACCTGGTTGGAGAGAGAACTGAGGGTCTTGGTTCTCTAAGCCATTTAGTTATACTTCCATATATCAGACACAACATACACCCAGTGCAAATAGAGGGAATATGGATAAATTACTATTACTCATGACTGTACAAAGGCTGTACATTTTGAAAAGGTTTCCTTTTACTAAAACATGAAAGCTAATCAGTGATCACTTGAGCCCCCAGGAGACATACAAGAAGACAGATTCACAGGTGCCTAAATGCAGAGGATTGAGAGCAATCTTGATGGCCCTTCTGAGGACCCCACCTTTCATAGGCAATGCTAGAGTTGTCAGTTTACATTTGTTTATGTAATTTTTGCAAGAATGCCAGTCTCCCCCCTGGAATATTTACAGGAATGCAAAAATATTCACAAATCATGTCTGACATCTTAATAAAAAATAAATGGTAATATACAGAAACAAGAGGATATAACCCAAATCAGAAGAAAAACCAATCACTTAAAATGGGCACAGAATAAAAGTAAAAGTAGAAGACATTAAAACAGAATAATGTATTCCATATGTCTAAGAAGCAAGGAGAAAGACTGAACATGTTAAGTAGGAACATGAAAGACCTAAGGAAGACCCTAGTCTAACTAAAAGAGATAAAAGCTATCATTTATGGTAAATGGGATGGGACTAAGGGTAAAGTGGACATTGCAGAAGAAAAGTTTAGGAACCTGGATGATGTAGCAGTAGAAACTTTTCGAAATGAAACTAAGAGAAAAAACAAAAAACAGTTATCAATGAGCAGTGAGACAACTTCAAAGGAACTAATATACATATTTAACTGAAGGCCCTGAAAGAGAGGTAGAGGACAGAAAATCACTGGAAGAAATAATGCCTGAAATATTTCCAAATTGTTGGAAACTATAAACCTACAGAACAAAGAAGTATAAGAAACTTTGGTAGAATAGGAGGATGCTGAGCTCGCCCTGCCTCATGTTTTCAACTAGGTATCATCCACATCCAAGTCAATAAACGTGATCCGAAGACTGGCAGAACAAACTTCACAACTGAGTACAGAGAAGAAGCTGCATCCGAAAGCTTAGGAAGGTCAGAAAGGCGCAGGGAGGCTGCCTGAAGGAGGGAGGGAGCTGCATTTGCAGAGAGGGTGGAGAAACAGGCCCTCAACCAGGGAGCTCACATGGGGAAGACTAAGCCCCATAGCATTTGGCTTTAAAAACCACAGGGCCTGAATTCTGTGAGTGTGTAAAATCAGTGGGACTTGAAACCTGGAGCTTTGGAGGTCAGCTGACTCAGCACTAGGGGAGCCAGGAAGGTAAGTGATAGCTGGGTCCCTGCCCTTAAAAAAACAACAGATTGCATGGAGAGGCAACATAAAAATGGCAGTTTACACAACACTGGGGGCAAACAGGAGACAGATCTATTCATATTGATTTCAGAGCATGTTGGGGGACTTCTCCAAAAACAAGGGAGCTAGCAGGTGCCATTTTCCTCCCCAGCCCCCCACCCCTCATAAGCACAGAGCCACCTGCGGGGTTAGGGCTGCACAGACACTTGCTACCTAACCCACTAGCAGTGTGCCAAACCCATGGGTTCTCCTGAGGACGTGCGCGTTCCAAG